AAGTTACTGTAGAGGAAGCCATGGAAGAGAGTTGAGATGTTTTGGAGAGCGTAGTGCTTGAACATGCTGCTGCTGTTCATGTAGTTCAATTTTTTTTTTTCTAATGTATTTTTTAATTTCATTATAGAGTTATTGTATATGGGTTATAAATAACGTACTTCAAATGTACAAGGGTTGTATATGGATAGTATAAGGATAGTATAGTGGTAAAATTATAGTGGTATTCCAGCAAAATTATAATTTTCAAATTATATATGGCCGGAATATATCATTTATGTGTTAATTACACGTTTACAAAAGGTGCAGGGCTTATTTGCTTCAATTAATTCTAAAGGGACTGATTTGCACATAAGTCATAAGTTATGGGGCTCATTTGCCACATATTCCTATTAAATAATAATAGTACATTTCTCACCATAAAAACCTTCCTTTTATAGTGTGACACAACTATTGTGACATTTTCATTTTAGGACTGTGTTGCAACTATAAAAAAACGGAGGAAGTAGTAATTTTCTAGAAGGCATTATCATTAATGTGTAAATTTATCCATGTTCGAAATATTTGTTAATTTAAATCTTTATAATCGGATGAGTAGTTTAATACTTTAATTTCAAGGTTTCATTGACATTTCACAAATAAATGAACCTTTAAAAATCAAAATTATGACCATCAAGTTGAATAGGCTATAATATAGCAGTAGTAGTAGTTGTTGCTACAGTAGTAGTAGTAGTAGTAGTAGTAGTACGGACTCATAGCACTTTGTTGTTGTCAGTTTTCTTAATAATGATGATTTCAACAAGTCATACTATGTTTTGATTCTTAATATGACATACCCTATGACTTTAAAAAAAAAAATGAAAACTGAAAACTATAGTGATATCGAACGAATCCTTATAAGATTAATTGATATTCGTACTAAATTATATTAAATTAGATGAAAGCCCGTGCGATGCACTATTTTTTTTATACCAAAATGTCATGAAAGGATAAATTTCTTAATTAGATTATATAATATTTTGATTAATTTGCTTAGTTTGTTGGAAAAGGATAATTTTTATTAAGTAGTATTTTTATGCAACTTATAATACAAACCTTATTTATTGATGTTAGATATATGGAAATTGAATATATAATTAATAATTAGATTATAAATATGATATCTCATTCATCGGATATAGAATTAAAATATTTAATATATTGCTAAAAGATTTTTTATTTTTAGTTTTTTTTTTAAATTTAACAGAGCCTTTTTGGCGCAGCAGGTCACACGGTGTGGCCTGCTGCCAACTCAGCAAAAATAACAGAGTTTGACACTCACGCGCAATTTCAAGTAACCCCTAATCTCAAGTACTCCATATTATAAGTAACCCCTTATTTCAAGTAACCCATAATTTCAAGTACTCCATATTATAATTAACCCCTAATTTCAAGTAACCCCCCCCCCCCCTCTTTTTAAAAAAAAACGTAACTGATAACTTGCTATTTGATATGATTTTAGGGTGTTTTTGAACCTAGTTTACTTGATAAATTTGTGTTTTGGTTCACTTTTACTCTATTATTATGCAATTTTTGTGTATCCTATGCTTCACGGGTTGTTAGTGTTTTTGTTGAGATTCTAGGTCCAAAGAAGACCAAATGAAGCCCATGGATACTAAACCGAGGTTAGAAGCAAGAAGATGGTAGATAGAAGCCAAGGAAAGGAGCAATATTGAAGAAAAGATGAAGAAAAGGGCTTAGAAGAGCCTTGCACGTCCGTGCAGGAGTGCTCCAGCAACATAAGAGCTTCTGCCTTGCCCTGCATGTCCGTGCAAATTAAATTTAGGCACGTTTGTGCAAGATACCCAGAACGTCCGTGCAGATATCTGCACGACCGTGCAGGAGTGCTCCAACAAGTAAGAACCTTCTGTCAAGGCCTGCACGGCCGTGCAGAAGAGGCTGCACGTCCGTGTCATAATTGGCACACCCGTGCATGATTTCTAGCCCAAATAGTAGCTTCTGCCCTGCCCTGCACGACCATGCTTAGGGCGGCACGTCCGTGTAGCTTAGTCTGCACGTCTGTGCCAAACCTGGCACGTCCGTGCCGACCTGCAGTCGAGCCCGATTCTTGTTTTCTCTGTCCTTTTTATTTGGGGGTCTTATAAAACCCCCTTTGAGCTCATTTGTACGGATTATCAAGGTTTTTAGTGCTTTTCTCTTAGTTTGTAATCTTAGAACATTAAATTCTCAAATCATTAGCTAGATTCCAATTGTTAGCTTGGAAATATTCATATTCAATCATTGTAGAAGACAAGTTCCACCATTGTTGCTCACCTTGAAGCTTCATAGTAACTATTTCTTACTCTTCTCTTCCATTTCTCTCTACTTTGTTGTTAATTACTTGCTTAATGCTTGTATGCTTAGATTGTTAATTAGCTTAATCCTTAGTTTGAACTTGTTCATGAATTGCTTGAAATGTTTAATTGCTTTAACTTCCATGGATTGTGAGTAGTCTAATTTTCTAGGGTTTGGGTAAAACCCTAAATGTAGTCACTAATTACTAGTTGCATGTAATAATTGGGTAATTATTGCGTGTTAATTAGTTGAGCTTAAGTGGTTTAATTGCTTAGTTCTTGTATATGGCCATTGCTAGAACTATTTATCCCAAACCGATGAACTTGAGTTAGCTCCCTTATGCTTAATTGACTTGAAATGCCATGAGAATAGGAATTTCCGGTCAATGGAATGTTTATGTCATCGTGATTATGCTTTAACACTTGTTTTATGCTTTGTAACCACGAGAGTAGGTTGTATTCATGATTCAAGTAATCCCTATAGCTTGAGAGAGTAGTTGGGTGCCTTAGATGACTTCCCTTAATTTATCCCCTTAATTTACTTTGATTGTTGCATGCTAATCGTGATTTGTGATGAAGTTGAGTGGTATAACCCGAGCCTTAGATTCCTCTAAACATTGTTAATCTCCTCTTAGCTTTAGTTGAATTGAATTAGTAGAAGTTACTCAAAACCAAACCGATTTCGACTTCATTTAGCTTTTTTAAACAGTAGTACCTCGGTGGTTGATTCAACGCCTCTCTTGGGTTCGACCCTTTCTTACCCTTGCTATTAGTTAGTGAGACCAAGATATGAATTTATATTTTGGTAGGCTTGACGACGGCCTATCAGTAACCCCTAATTTCAAGTAATCCCTAATTTCAAGTAACTCCTAATTTCAAGTAACCTATTTTATAACATACCCAAAACAGAAGACAAAAACAAGTAACCCATATTATAAGTAACCCCTAATTTCAAGTAACCCCAACTCTAACTCCAACCCCACCAAAACAACCCAAAAACCCAACAAAACGATAAAGAAATGGGATTCATCATCATCTTCTTCTTCTTCTTCTTCTTCAATGGATCTCTTTCATAGCTACTCCAATGGCGCTGAAGAAGACAACGACGACGAACAACCAACCCTACAAAATAACCTAGAAAACCAACAAAAAATGAGAAAGAAATGCGACGATTTGGTCTTCAAACTCGAAATTAGGGTTAGGGTTTGGAATTGAGAAGGAGGATTTGGAGGAGAGAGAAGGAGTTGCAAAGGAGAAGAAAAAGAAGATGAAGAAGAAAGTGAGGAGTGAGAGAATGATGATGATGATTAGGGAAAATGAAGAAGAGTGGAGATGTTTGTTGCCATTGTTGGAAGGTTGGAGAGAGAAAAACAAGAGAAAGGGAATATAATGGGGAGTGAGAAGTGGAAAAACAAAAATAAATAAAAAATAATGTGGCTTGTACCAATTACTCCATGGTCCCCATCGCCGATTTGTGGGTTTCAGTGTGTAAGGGATAGATTTAGTGGGTTTGAGGATGTGTTGGGCCGCGGGGATGCGGGATTGAGTGGGGGTGGCCGCGACTAGGGGGGAGGGGAGGGGCGATGGGGGGTGGCTGGGGAAAAGGGGCGGTAGGGAGGTGGATGAGGGGGTAGTCAGAACTTGAAAATGGATGAGAAGCGGCAGGGGAAGGGGAAAGTGGGTGGCTGGGAAAGTAGAACTACCCTAGAGATAGGTTGTTTTGTGAGCAACTACCTTTTTTTTTTTTTTTTTTTTTTTTTTTTTTTTTTTTTTAAGAACTATCCGTAAGTTAGCAAACATTTGTCTACCATTACCCAATAACGTTTTCCGTCCAATTTATGCGTTAGTGGGACCCACTTCTTTGCTTTCCCACCCAAATAACTCCCCTCACTCATTTATTTACCCGCCAAACTCATCCAAAAATCAAAGAGAAGAAAAATTAAGCAATTTAACGTAATTACTCACTAATTCCGGTAATGTTTTAACCTAAGTTTTAGTTCATGGTCTGTTGAATTCGTTTTAAGGTTTTAATTTATAACAATTAGCTTAATTGGGGACTCAATTTAGGGTTTATGGCTTCTATTCAGTTTGAGTATTTTGATTTCTATGGTTTAAGGATATAATTGAATTGGGGATTTTGCTTATTTTGGCTTTGGGATTGAATTCAATTGCATTCTAATACTTTCACTCATTGACTTGGAATTACCATAAACAGCAACAAGATGAGTAGGAAAGAGAGAGACAGCAAAGAAAAGGCTGTTAGGGTGTCAATTTTCTGAAAAGGAGATGAAAATTATGGTGGAGATTCGCTTAGGTCAGAATAATATGGTGAAATGTGGAAGGTGAAAGAAGAAAGTGAAAATGGAGGGAAAATAAATGAGGGAGGAGAGATGTAGTTGGGGAGAGGAGTTAATTGGGCGGGAAAGAAAAAAAGTGGGCCCACTAACGTCTAATTTGGACGGAAAACGTTATTGGGTAGTGCTAGACAAACATTTGCTAGCTTATTGGCAGTTCTAAACAAATAAAATAAAACGGATAGCTGCTCACAAAACAACCTACTTTAGGGTAGTTCTACTTCTACACAAAATTTCCGTACATTTATAAGGAGGGTATGTTTATAAAGTTGTGTTAAAATACGGGTATTACCCGGTAAATACGAGGTTAGCTATTCACGATTTGTAAATTGGGCAGCCCTCCTTAGCTAACAGACTAACGGTTCAAAGCAACCAAATTAAAAAGCTTACAACAAAATTTCCACATCCGGGAATGGCAGACGACAGAGAAATGGCGCCGGAATCACACTTGGAAGCATCTCCTTCATCAAACACTCTTCAATGGCGGCAACACCGCCATGAAAATGGAGTTGAGGTTGACGAAGCAGAAGAAGAACATGTACACGAAGGCCTTCAACTTCAACCTGATGATGATAATGGTCCTACTCATCATCCTTCTGCTCCTCCCGACGAGGTTTTCATCCCTATTTTCTCTCTCTTATCTCACAATATTTTCAGTTAGGGTTTTAGCTATTCCCAATTTGATTTCTACTGCTTCATAATTGAATTTTGCAGTTTGGATTATTGTTTGGCTTCATTCAATTTATTGCTTAATTTTGTAATTTCATGCAGTTTATACTTGAAATAATTTGAAACTGAACATGTCAACATTGTGGAACTTTTGTCACGATTGCATTTTCCACAGTTAATAACACTTGGAGATTGGAATACTTCATGATCTTGTTTGTTATTTCTTAAAAAATGGTTGTTTGGGCTATGTGATTGCTGAGTTGCTTGCTTTTCGGATGCTTCGGAGTAATCTGGTAATTGTATGAGAAAGCTCCTGCCAAAAATAAATACTCTTAAGATATGGAGATGAAAGTTATGATATTAATCTGATTTTTAATTATGCTCTTGATTAGTGTAGTCTTGAAAGCATCGTGTTCCCCTAAGAAAAATGAAGAAAGCATCGCGTTTCATACTTTCATGCCTTGATTTTCATGTTATATATCATTTGCCCTAGTGTAGTAATTACTTGTGTTATAGAGTCTGAAAGTTGTATTATCAATGCTTTTTCATTGTTTCCATTTGCAGCTTCATATGAGTAGTTTAGTAATAGTTATGGTACTCCTTAGGTTTCCTTGTTTGTCTAGTGTTTGTTAACTTGTAGAGGTTCTTGTTACCCTAATACTTGTGTGAATTTGACCAGATATTTGACATCTCGACGACCATTGATCCTAGATATATAATTTCCTTGATACGCAAGCTTTTGCCTGTTGATGAAAGACAAGGTGATGACCTTCAAGGACTTGCTGAATGGAGTAGCTCCACTCAAAGACCAGATAATGATCAAAGGGCAAATGGTACATCCTCTCCAAAGATAGATAGTGGTCTGAACAACTTAAATGGTCATTTAGCGAGTATAGAGACTGTAAATTCTGAACCTGTTGATCTTGAACAACCTTCAAAATCAGCAGGGACTGATGATAATGACATCGAGCCTCGTGAAAAGACAGCTAGAGAAAAGGCTTGGGAAGAAAGTGGTTGTGTTTTGTGGGACCTCGCTGCTAGTAAGGAACATGCAGAATTTATGGTACTCGATTTTATTCTTTTACTATGTTTGCATGCTGCAGGTTAAAGTTTAGGTTTCTTTTTTCTTACGAATCTGTCAAAAGTGGATCATGTATGGGAAATAATTGGTAGTGGAGCTTATAAGATGTAGAAGAGTCAAGGCCTCAAGGGGTTTGAGATTAGAGTGTTTTTCTGATGCATACTCCCTCCATTCCCTTTTGCTTGCCCTATTGAGGAGAAGTCTCTTGTATAATTTTTGTTTGGGGTTGAGCGACAGTGGTGGGACCAAATGAAGTGGCTATGAGAGTAAAGATGTTATCCCCATTGACCATTGTAGTATGGGAAAACTTAAAGGGATAAACCAAAAAAGAAAAATAGGGCAAACATCAAGGGACAAATGGAATATATAGTAAAAGATCTAAAAATGTGTATGGGGGAGTCTGGTTAAAAGTATTCTTTAATAGACAAGGGATAGTACTTGGCTCACTGTGAAAAATGTGAAGAATTATAGGGAAAACTAATGTCCTATGTAACTATGTTTGATTGGCAATAATTTCCTAGCATTAGTGAGTATAGAGCCCACTAGTTTCACAAACTTCTCTGTAGGATCTTAGGTACATGTTTCAACGGGTAAATGACAAGCAAGTAGCAATCATATGCCACCTAGAAGTTATGTCGTCATGTTGATGATACAAAGAAGAAATAGCTGACTACAAGTTTTCTTCAGGTTCAGAACTTTGTGCTGGAAGTCCTTTTGGCCAATCTTGTGACTTCTGACTCTGTCCGTATTACTGTAAGTGTTTCTTATGTTGGCTTTTGTAATTTATCTTAGATTTACAATTGTGAAGTATCAGCAAATGTTTGTCACAGCAAAAACAAATTCAGGTGGCTACAATTTATTCTGCAGGAGATTGACCTTGGAATTTTAGGCAACCTTGCCTGCCATGAAGCACTTATGGACCAGATAACCTCCAATAATAAATTGTTGGAGACAATCGTAGACCAAGTGTTCTCAGATGATGCTCTTTGCCTATGTGAAGTCTGTCGGTAATGTCAAAAGAAAATTTTTCTATTCTAGTATATTATGGAACAAAGGTCACTTGAGTTTTGAGTGTCCATAAAAAAATCAAAGCATATTCCTACCTTGCATCATTCCTGCACTCTCCCTATCAAAATAAGGAAATATAACTTTGAACAATTTTTTCTTGCTGCTCTTGGGAGAAAATCGGGTTAGGTTATTGAGTTTGTTGCCTTGTATGTGATTCTCAGCCTACAAACTGTAAATTACATTTTGATAAAATTTAAATTTGTGTAAAATTGAAATTTAAATATGCAAATCACCTTTTGGTAGTTAACTTTCAAATTTGCTTCATGAATTCACCTGTTGGGTACATGTATAACAAATTATCCTGAAGCATTTGTGTGCAAAGTGAGCTGTAATGAATCGATATAGGGAGGGGCATTATAGGTATCGCTTAATAAGTTTGTTAAGATTAGCTTGGAGAGGAAGCTAGCAGTGAGTTTGCTTTATGAATAAGACAATACTAGGGATAGGAGGTTGTGCTGAATATTGTGAAGAGTGGAGACACTTTGGAGAGCTCCAACCTCTCGAATGTTGGTTAGGGAGAGAACAAGCCTCTCGAAAGCTTGTACTACCTTTCTTATTTTCATAGTTCAATGCAAATTCCATCTTCTTCCTTTGAATTTCTGCTCCAGTTCATAAGCTTTATTAGTCATAATCATCATTTTTAGGGGTGCTTTTAATGAAGTTTCCTGTTGCTAAGTTTAATTAGATGTACCAATTTGTTTATTCATTCTCAACTTCTTTGGGGCAGTACTAAAGCAGGATGTATCATCAAACCAACTTGTCGTTAAGCTCAAAATTAGCATGATTTGGTGGTTTTGCTTCGCTAGTCTATTTTTTCTTTGATTTTTTTTAGCAAATATTGTATTGTTATCAGTTTATCTGTAATCATATTCATTGTTTGGGAGGCAAGATGGATCACCTCAATTATTAAATATTATGAGTTCCGATTTTAAGTCTTTTAATATGTGTGTGTTTCACATCATATTATTGTGTGACTAATTCTGTTATTGTGTTGAGACTTCAGACTCTTATCCTTTGTTTATGTGAGGGGTTGGACGGAAGCATGATGAATTGCTACGCCATGGTTATTGGTCTGTCACCTTGTTGTTGTAGAACCTCTTAACAATGGCTAAGACGGACATTGGTGCAGGTAGATGAAAGGTGAATTTGTTTGTAGTCCCTCAGGCATAGTATTAAGGGATGAGTCATATTGGGTTAGGGAGCCTGGGAATTTGAACTATAAAGCCTAGTACAAACTATGATATCTGTGTGGTGCAATAAGAGAAGAGATTTGAAATCGCAGTAGAGTCTCATGGAAGACTTATGCTTAAAAATCTTTGGCGTGAACATGGTCTAATGGATCTGGAACAGTTTTGGGATCCATTGCCATCTCTAGGTGCATATTGGTCATATGGGATTACATTGCATATTTTGCTCTGTCTATCTTACTTGGTATCACTTTTGCTTGAGAATTTTGGTAAGGAGCCGATGGTCAGTCTTATCCCTATGACTTCTGTTTGTTCTTGGATGACTAAGAGTGTTAAACGACAAGTATTGGCATTGGCGACTTGAAATCTTGTCTAAAATATCAACAATGTTGTATATCTAGTAAATGTAGTAATCAAGCTTCCCAGTTTAGCAATATCTCACTCCGCTAGTGAGTTTAAGAGGAGAATAATGTTTTTTGATACGTGAATATGTAATAGTCTAGGATTCGGACTTCATATTTCAGATTTGACAAGGTAAATGAATAAAGCTTGATTGGTCATTAAAGATTGATAATGGCAAAAGGGATACAAAATGATTGGTCAATAGCTTGTGGCTATTACTCTCTTGATAGCTTGTGGCTATTACTCTCTTCGTAACTTTAGGTTACTATTCTCTTAACATAGTTCCTCACAATTCACATAATGCTCCTACTTCCCATACATTCTTTATATATACAACCTAAGACTGTCAAGAAGGACTGAATGTTATCAATTAATATTGTCTCTTTCTACCTTGCCTTGCCTTCACCTTGTATCCACTACTTGTTGCACTTGTCTTCACCTTCAACTAATTCTCTTTGTCGCCTAGTGCTAGCTGGTCTTCCCTTCCTTCTGATGTGGCTGCTGGTCCCTTTTGTATGCTCCCGTTTTCGCTCCTTTGGTGTTGTAGCCGGATTGGTGGCTTGCGAGGCCCAACTCACGAGTCCATTAAAGAAAATACGTAAATTCAAGACTTTGACATACTCTATGGAAAAGTAACTATAGTGACTGGGACCTCTATGCTGTACTGATTAGGAGATTTGTGGGCGGGGACTGGAATGTTTCATCTATACTTTACCGCTTCCTTTTCACTAATAGAGTGGGATAGCAAGTGCCTTCTGGACTATGTCTTGGAGTTGCATTTTGGACCTTGTTCTGATCATTTTCTGTGTTTACTTTCTTATACTGTCTGATATAATCCTAATCTAGCACTCTGTTTCCCTTAAGAATTTATGGCTTTCCCATCTCGATATTTTCAGGATGGTTAGTGAGTTGTGGAGGAAGAGTGGTATGCAGAGTTCCGTGTGGATACTTTCTTCAGTTTTTTGTGTAAAAACTTAACTTTAGTGAAAGAAATTGAAAGTCTAGAACAGGGTAGCTGAGTACCAGGAAAAGTGAGGTTTGAAATGACCTTCCTGTGACTGATTCCAGTACAAATTTGAAGATTTTTACCCTTATCCCATAGGACCTCTGTACTAAGTTAAAGTTACTGATCTTTATGAGATTTGACTTAAGTTTTCTTTGAGAGGGAATCAGCAGGTCTGATCATAAATTATTGCTCCTTTTTGTGGCACCTTTTGTGCAGGATAGACAATGTTTGATTGCTGCTCTGAATCTATCATTGTAATTGGAAAGGTTGGAATGGTTGAAGAGACAAAGTTGTAAATGTGTGCTTCTAGGTTAAGTTCGAGAAGGCTTATGTTAAGTTTCTTTTATAAGTTTTCTAAGAGCAAGGGCTTTGACTTGATGGAGGCTTTGATTCAAGGTTGGTTTTTAAGATCTGATTTTTCTATCCTTGCTAGTGGAGCTTCTAGAAAGTTGTTCACTATCTTCTCTTTTGGTTTCATTGTGGTAGGTGTCTAGTGTAAAATGGCTGAGACAAGGTTTGATGGTGGAGAAATTGATATTCTCATTCTGTTCTCCTTTGAGACATGGTGTAATAAAGTGCTACTAAAATTTGAGGCTATTTGTTGGCTGAACTGCTGAAAGTGAATATTTTAAAATGCAGCCTAGCTGGTACAACTAACAACTGACCTTGCATCTGCAATGTATTAATGAATAATGGTCCTGCTGTTACAATATTGCCATTCCATAAAGATTTTTTCAAGTTTTATTTTAGCTGAACTTTGACCTGCAACATGTGGCTTATGGTAATATTTTTACATCTGTTGTAGACTTGTAGGCTGCACAATCCACTATTGAAGCCATTATGATTTACAAATATTGGTACTAATTTACTGTCGTAATTCATGCCTAATTTTGAAGTCCCTAATTCTTTAACATAGAAAAGATAGTAATACCAGCTGTATGGGATAATATCAGCTGCAGCAAGGCTTATAATGATAGAGAGTTTCCTAACATTCTCATTGGGTAGCACACCACAGCCTCCAGCATTATCTGAAGCCAATCGTGATCCATCTGTATTTACTTTAATGTATCTCTTTTGGGAGGTCCCAAGACCTGGTTTTAGTTAAGACTTAAGAGAATGTTGCTGACGTGCTGCTTCCTTGTTGATCTTCTAAGATCTGTCACTAGCTATAAATTCTTCTAGGAATATATTGAGTAAGAGGTTGGAGTGGATCATTTGTCTCTAAAAAATGGTTTTGTTCCTGGATGACTAAAAAACAGAGGTGTCATATTCTAACACAGAACAGTTGAAGCTAATATTGTTTTTGTTGTACATTAAAAACAATCCATGAAGATGAGAAGATTAAAATCAGTACAATGGAGAAAAATATTTGAAATAGCATATTTCAAAAACTCCAGTGCATTTCTGAATAGGTGAATATGGTTTCTATGATTCGTATGCCATCTGACACATATTGGGTTGAATTAGGGATTTTTAGAACAAAGCCAAGTTTTGATGAACTAAGTTCCAAAGAAGCATATTATGTTTCCAAGAAACCTTCATTTTCTACGTCTTTTCCAAGGGATGATTGAATTATGCTAGGCATATATGAATGTTAATGTAAATATAAGGCGGTTTTAGCATGATACTATGAAATTGGTTTTTCTTATTCATGGCCTCATGGTTGCATTTTGCAATTCATAAGGTTTATTTCGTAGCTTAGCCCTTAGTATAATGCAGTATAAGCATATTGGGTTCTTTGTCACTTCATGTATTTACAATATATTTTTGTAGGTTGCTAACTTTGGGCCTTCAAGGCTGCCAACGTGTTGTGTGGGCCAGAGCACTGCAATCAGACCACATCTTGAGCCGTATCCTTTGGATTGTGGAGAATACCTTAAACCCAGTCCTCATTGAGAAGGTGACTGGTTTCTTCTTCTTCTTCTTTGTTATCCTCCCCCCTCCCTTTTTTTTTTTTTTTTTTTTTTTGTGTGTGTGTTAGGCTCTCAACATATAAGAAACAATATTGGTATTTTGTCAAGTTTGACATCTGTACATCTGTTACACATCAGGAATGAATAGACAGAAAATGAAAAAGTTTGATAACAAGTATGGGCGTTTTTTTTTTGGATGATTTAAGAACAAAATAAGACCTGGCATGGCCACATGGTCATGCCAAAAGCTAGGAAAACTGGGATTTTGAAGGGAGTAGGTCTGCTAGTTGTGTACTTTTACGCTTTCTTACTGCTCTACAATACCATGTTGTGGGGAACTTAGGGTAAAAGGCGTCATTGACATGAATCTTTTTTCCATTTACTCTTTAAAGAGCTCCTAGATTTGATACAACTTTTTTTGGTAAATTAGAAAACAAATCCCTCAAATTGGAAAAAAGGTATCAAAAGAGTCATTTCACAGCTAGTGTGGGGAACTGATAGAAGCATTGTGGCTTTCACTTCTTTGTGTGAGTTGACAAGCAGTCTTAATCTGTTACAAAGGATTCTGTTTGTGGCAATCTATTTGATTTCTGTTGTCGTAATTTTTGTTTGCAAAAGGAATGTGCTCATGAATTGTTATATATCATTTTATTTCTCTTTGGGAATAATGGGGTGATTGGTGAGAAGAGCAGGGAGTCAGGGACTGGCTAGTTGTTTTTCTGTGCTGTAGAATCATGTCTAAAAAGAGAGTATTTGTTTTGTGTTAGCTTGTTATCAGACTTTGCTGGAAATTGTTATATCTGTGAGATATGATCTTTTGAGGACTTGAGGAATTGATTCCCTAATGAATTCCTCAACCTTTGGAGAGACTAATTTAAACGATAGAATAATTTAAAACATACTCTGGTAGAATAATTTGAACAATAGTTAAATTTTTTTAGCGGGGGGAGACCGGGAGTAGCATCCATTTATTTACCGAAAGGATACCAGGAGAAGGGAGGCTTAGAATAGACCGACTGCCTGATGGAAAAAGTGTAATGTTAATCCTTTGAATTTAAATAAAAGAAACAGGAGAGGAATTAATTAACTTGCATATAATTTTGTCAAATTAGCGGGCAGGGTGAATACCTCTTTGCAAATTATGAACTGTGTTCTTCTCTGAATACACCAATGTTGTTTTTTAAAATGCTCCTCTATCTTGTTTCACTTTTCTGATATGCATGTAAACAATTGACAGCCTATTTTCCATCTTGTTGCCTTTGATAATTTGCTTTCGATCCTTTCTAACTTCCAAGCATCTGTATCATATGCTTTTACTTTTAGTGTGCTAGTGATCATATAGTTGGTGCTAAATGAGTTTATGTTTATTAGTTTATATTGCACCAAAATACTGCCATTGGCAAGACGTTGTTTTCTTTTTTCTGGAATAATCCAAAACAAAGTACTCTCCTGCCTCTTTTTCATTGTGTGTTTTTTTTACCATCTATTTGACAACTGAATGTGCTAACTTTCATGTGGAAGGCAGAGTCAGTAGTCGCTTTTCCTCTACACAGTATGGTCACTGTAATCTGGAAAGACATTCAGTATATGATCTGTAGTAAGAAATTGTTGTGAGAGGTTTTGGCAAGATATTATCTGAAGCAAGTGAACTGGATGCCATTTGTTGGACTTTCGGATGATTGCCACTCTCTTTATCTCTCTATATAGTTTACCTAGCATTAATGCATATCCTGTGACTGTTAATATGCTTGTGATAAGAGAGAATGTATTATTACCATTACAATTATCTTGTGCTATTCACAATAATAAGATTATCTTAATAGTATGCTGAGTGATTTTTTTTTTTTTTTTTTTCCACTGCCTTGAACAGAGTGTTGGGTTATTTCTAGCAATTATGGAAAATCAGCAAGAAGTGGCACCTATTCTTCTTCCAACTCTCATGAACTTGGGGCTGCCAGACCTTTTGGTCAATCTCCTGTCTTTTGAGATGGGGAAATTAACAAGTGACAGAACTGAAAGGTAAACTTTCTGAGTTGGGGTCAATTTCTGCATGAGAACTATTAATGTTGATAGATTTAATTGCCTGAGTGCTTCTAGCATTTTATGCTTTATGTTGACGTGTGTTATTCCTTTTTATCTTCACTACTTTGTAATGTTCTTTGGTTTTCCTTGCAAACTGAGTTAATTTCTATCTGTTCAACCAAGTTGTAGTTTGTTTATTGCTTCCATAGTTCTATGTAGAGATGTCAAGACTACATTACCTTTCTGGTTCTTGTACTTATAATTTACCTTACACTAAATGTATTCTTTTTCTTTTTCTGTTTTTTTTTTTTTTTTTTTTTCTTTCCCCCCCCCCCCCTGATAGGATGTGTGTACTTAACATAGATCAACTTTTCCGGGCATTCTATCACATATATGTGATCAATCGCCATCTTTGGGATAGGCTTATTGCATAGGAGATTAATTAGTAATTGGATTGAAACGCTCAGCTGTGGCACAATTAGTTTTGATGTTTCTTGGTGCAAATGCTTTGGGACTTGGGGTTATTTGTCCAAATAGGAGATACAAGTAGCAATTGGATAGAGATGCACAACTTCAGCATACTTGGCTTAAAAATTTGCTGATCTGAATTCTTTTGTATAATCCATCATGCATTAGCAGCTAATATCTGAAATCCTGGTTTCGCAATAGTCACTGTCTGATTCCAAACTCGATGCTTCTGATGCCTCTCAAGTCTCAATTTTCAAAAATGATTCTGGAATAAGTTCAGATAAAACAAAAATGTTTTTATTACTCAGACAGTTTCAAACAAAATTAAGTTTTTCAGACAATTTCATTTACAATTAAGTTCTTTCAGTCAATATAAGTCTAATTGAACGGAGCCTTATTTTGATAACCAAAACTTATTGTCTTTAATTTCTAATGGATTAGAAAAAAAAATATATATACTGTTCTGTCCGTGTATGTGTTATGATGATGAGCTAGCTTTCATGTGCAGAATGACATACTCGTGTTTGAACAGACTTACTTAAGACACTTTTCTCTTAATTTAATCCAAATATACTTTCAAAGTTTAGGAATCTTGTTAGTAATGAGTGAATTATGGTTTTTGTTTCTGTTTTATTCTTAGGTATCCTGCACTTGATTCAATTCTTCGTGCAGTTGAAGTTCTTTCCGTGACTGATGATTATTCAGAACGGATATGTTCAAATAAGGAAGTTGTTCAGATGGCTATAGAGCTGATCAAAATCTCTGAAAAGACTGAGGTGGTTCCTAATCTAATCCCTAAAAACTATCTGTACTCCCTTAGTATTCAATTTAGTTTGATCTTCAGAAAGTTTAGCCTTTATTCTTCTTTGGTTATATCTAGTGTCTTGAAATATAAATTTGTGTTATTCTTCCTGATGTTAGCATAAAGATATTGCCGAATCACACTAGTTTTCCTTGTCTTGAGTTGGGTGTAGAAAGCTGCATTTACTAAGTGACTGGTCTCACATCTTCTGTTTATTAAAAAATGAGGCTTGGATAGTAAGCTCCCTTGAAGAATTGACAAGAAAATTCGATTGAAATTATATATATTAGCCAAGTCACCTCTGACCATTAACTAATTAAACACATTCTTTAATATTGAAGTACCCTCACCCATTTCCGGAACCTAAGATAATCAAGAAATCCTGTCAAGTGAGTAGGTGTTATTCCGTATTTGCTTAAAAATGGCTCTGAGTGCACATTGCCCTGTTTAGTCTTGCCTAAGAGGCTAAGACACTAGCTTTAAAAGACAAAATAATTCAGCTCTTGGCCTATTATTGTTATATAGCGATTGTTCATAAATTTGATTGTATTGTCACTTAGTGTTGACCTAAGTAATTATTATATGAAGCTATTGCCGGGTTTTCCATTGCTTTCAAGTTCAGGCTTAATTGGTCTACACTTGACTTATTTTGCAGATCTCCGGCTCCTGTGTAACTGCAGCAGTTTTGCTAGCGAACATATTAACTGATGCTCCTGATCTGGCTTTCAAATTGTCAGAAGGTGAATACATCATTCTTATTACTTTCTTGTGTTGTCTACATTCATAACTTTGTATTGGACCCCTATGTCCACCCTCACCCTCACTCTTTCTATAAAAGTAAAAGAAAAAAGCAATCAAATTTTCTAATCTGAGATTGTAACTAAATGGTTATGCCAAACTTCAGAGGACCAATCTCATGATTCAAAATTTCCTATTCTATTCTTGGGTTCGTTCAACAGAAATAATTTAAGAGATGATAAAATGGCAGCTTTTACTTGCAAGTATTTTCCTCAGACAATTTGACCATTGTTTAAGGCTCATTTGACATGCTAAATGCTCTGTATGCAGATTTTCTTTTGTTGCAGTCTCTCCTCGATTTATTCCCTTTTACTTCAGAAGATTTTGAGGCAAGAAATGCATTATGGAGTGTTGTGGCCAGACTTCTGGTTCGCGTTCAAGAAGCAGAGATGAGCCCTTTAAGGTTAAACCAATTTGTATTGATGTTTGTGCACAAATCAGATATGATAGAAGATACCCTCCTTGAGAGCAAGCAGGATGAATCCCCAAAATGTGATACTCATACCACATCAGAAGCAAACTTTGACTCTAGAACTGCGGCTGTATCCTTTGGCACCTTTTATTGCATTGCATAATATGGTGCTCTTTATTTGTTAAAGTATAAATGGAAAAACCCCTATACCAAACCGTTGTTTAGGTGCATTGTTGCTTGTCTTATAACTCTTATTTTCCTTAACGGAAAAGATTAAATGCATTGTTAAATTGTTGGTTCACTGGAATCGGGTGAAAGAGGAATCTGTAGCACACGATGACACAGACAACTTAGAGAAAAGTTATTTTCCCGATGAAAGAGATGTTCAGAAATTATTAGACTGTTGTCTCAAGCATGCAAGTTAGGTAAGCACCAATTCATTTTGTGCTTGATGACTTGATGCTCCATTCTAGGCATTCTTCCCTGGAAAAGTGTTTATTTTCCGCTTCATATGAGGTGAACTGCTCCCCCCCCCCACCCCCCACACACACACACATTTCTCCCTTCCAAAAATACTTATTTGATGACAGTCTTGTTTCTTCTGCTTAAGTCTTTTGTTTCTTAAACTAAATTCCGTTTGAAATGTCAACTTATTAGTTTCTTTTTTGTCAGAGAGAAATCGTGATCTCCTTCCTGCATAAATGGCATTTTGATTAACTAGTTCAAACTTAGAAAATGAACTACGCTGAATTATTAAACTAATAGTATGTATTATGCCTTAACTTAGATATTGATGATCTAGCTTCATTTTAGGATGTCCACAAAATATCTTCCTATTACTTAAAATAGAGAAATTACTTACTCAATACATGTGAAGTGGACCCCTCCACTAACTCTTTCTCTCAAACTCTCACCCTTTCCTAATAAATTCCTTGATATGCATGCCAAAGCTTAATAGGAGGAATTTTCAAGGATGGAGTATTATTCTTAAACTACTAGTGAAGCTAGGTTTAGGGCATCCAGTGCCAAAATGTCTTAGGTATGAAAGGCTTCTCATTACGTTGAACGCAGTGAACTTGCTGAACAAAATACTTTAGAGATGGCCTTGGAAATTGTTACCAGTCGGACCTCTTGGAGTCTAGCCACAACATTAAGGTGCCTTAGTATTTTGCTTAAATCTTTAATTTTTTTTTTTGTTTGTTTTTTTTTAATTGATAACCATAACTAGAATTTATTATTCAGACTTGAAAATTAACCAGAAACATACTTCAAAGCCTAAAAGTAATCACACTATTTTGCATCAATATTAAAAGTTTAAAACTATTAACCCAGCTTATGGGATGGTTGAACAAGTGACCTTTCATATGTAAAAGATTAATATACATATCCTACCAAATCAAGCAAAACGCCTGAATCTAACTTGACAGCAAACCTAAAAACAAACAACAGAAGCAAACTAGCCATAAATTTTAACAAAGTGACAGAAACTATCAGTTTAGTGCCAAAATTCTGTCAGGAATATCAAATCAGTAAGGCAGATCTTAGCTTATCAGGACACCTTTAAGCCTCATTCAAAAGAAGATTTCTTTGTTAATAGCTTCCCAAGGTTTAGTATGGCATTGAAACCAATTTGGTTTCCCTGAAGCCAAAAGCAGTAGTCTCTTTGCTTTACTTAGCAGCTATTTTGATTTCATCTTTAACTTGAGATATAGTCCTGTTACAATGTAACAACTGAAGAACTATAACAGTTGAAGTAGAGATGAGTAGTAGATTCTTGATCAACTTCACAGAAGTGTGCACATTCTTCAATTAGGATCACAAGTGCCATCTTTGTAAGCTTATCAGCAGTAAGCAACCTTTGATGCAGCATATGCCAAGTAATAATTAAGCTTTTGGGAATTAGAATTGGCTTTTAATGACTCTCTTCCCCTTCGCAGTTTTCCTAGGAACATATTTCTACCCTCTAATATCAATTTATTATCATCTGAGTGAGAGGCTGTGGTAATGTTACACGAGGCACAAAATGGAGGAGCCCAATTAGTATCTTCAATTTGTATGTCCTTAGGTAAGGAATTTTTAACTTCCATCTCTATGAGCACTCTGCACTGTTGGAAAGAAGTGTATTCATCCACAAATAGAGGAACCAAATAGAGGAACCTAGAAAGCTTCCTATCTTACTTAGGCTGTCTTATCTCCAACAGTTCAAGGGAAGGTTTGGAAACTTTACCAATAGAGATGTACCTTTTGAACCTCTTCATGAAAATTAATTATCAGGGATTCGAGCCTTATCATCCTTGACTATAGAGCTACACAAGACAATGATTTAGTAGTTAAATGAGATCTAGAAAAAGAGGTTAGAACAGGTATATTCAACGCTCTGGTAAGTATCTTGAGTCAATCAACGATTAGCAGTCAGGCACTGAAATCGCAGCAGAATTCCAATAAATTCACGACTGTTCAAAAGGAGAGGTAATAGTTGTAGGCTTGTAGCACGTTCATCACTGTTCGGTTTAATACAATTTTATTGTCTTTTTTCAGGTAAAACAACACCAACTGAAGGATTGAACCCTATTAAAATATAATAACCTCCTAAAGCTTCTCAGAGTGTGACTGATCTTTATCTAAAGCACCCACATCCCTTTAATTTACATTACCTATAATCTCAAAATGGGGTTTTCGATTTTTCCTAGATGTTGTTTAGTTTTATAGTCTTAAATTTATGTTTAACCATCCTTGATATGATAGTTTCTACTGTAATGTGCCTACATAATGCAATGTGGTAGGCATGCAAACTGTAAAATTTTGATTCACTATAATGAAATTCCTTTAGGAGTGATGTTCCCAAAATTCGCTTTAGTGCAATCACTTGTGTGGCATAATAGTTTTCAGCCATTTTGACAATTATCACCTGGCCACCTTAAAAGTTAAAACTCAAGTTAAGTATGCCTGACATGCTGCCTGGTTTGTTTGCCAAACATGGCTCTCTAATGATGGAAAACATCAAGGCCTCAAACTGTCATGTTTCTGAGTTATGTAAATCATATTAAACGGCTTATATCCCTTGCTTTCAAAGTCTTATTCTTGGAGCTACTTCTGAGCTTGGACTAACGAGACTGTTAGTAAGGGTTTCATGATGCATGTTCAGTCTTAACACTGAATTAGACATTTTGATGTGAAATACTTTTAGTTAAGTTCTGCTATCCTTGACAAAGATGTTATTTTCCCATCTTTACTGAGTTATCAGATAAATTTCTTTGGATTTTCTTGTTGAAATGATATAGGATTTACAGATCAATTCTTTGCAGGATATGGATGTACTAATCTTCTGGAAATTTGTGGCTTTTTGCAATTGCATAATTGAGGAACTCATCTTCAGCTTCGATTTTTCATCAAGAGAGTGCAAACCTCAAGAATAGTTCAGTCAGGGTAATGGAAACATTTAGTCTGAAAATTTTGCTAGGAATAGGAGCATGTATACTAGGTACAAACTTGTAAATTTTTCAGCAATGTTTTCCAGCAATTGAAGAGTTGTTTAAGCTTCAATGTGTGCGTGGAACATTACAAAAGAGAAACAATGTAAAATGATATTGTGGCTAGGATTTAAAAGTAACAGAGCAATGTAATTCATGCAAAGTATTATGACTTTCACAAATCTAATTGTTTAGCGTCTTTTTCACAGACCTGACTGTCGTAAAGATACAAATGTCAGCAGTATACAGCAGGTGTTTTTGACAATCCACTAAATTAGTAGTAGAGCATGCTACTATGACAGCGAGCACTTGAATAAGCAAAAGGGGTGAAGCAAAGAGGGGCAATTGTCATTACAGAGTTAAATTTTGTTAACCAAGAAAGTTACAGAAACATCAACTCTGGTGGCTGAAATTCGACGCTTGGAAATCCTGCATTCAATCTTCAATAAGAGGTTGGTAGAACAATCTGTAGGCTTCAATGACTTCAAGATACCACATCGCCTCTCTATTAGGATTTGCTGAAAGATCAACTATCTTGTGAACCTGCAAATTAGAATATGAATGAACAAAATACGTGAATGAAGAAATGGTTTATTTCACAGGTTATCAACTTGTTTGTCAGACTGTTTATCTAAAAAACTTGTTTGTCAGACTGTTAACCCAGGAAAGGGTGATGGTTGTGGTGGCAGCGCCAATACTTTACCTCATGCTGCCACCCCTGTTGCAGTGCTACTCTGTCTCGGAACAATCGCCCCATATGATTGAGGGTCACTCTTAAGAATTCGAGTTCTATGCCCCACCAATTTAGTACTTCCTATTTTAAAATTTCTTGCTTCGACCTTTTGAGACAATAATCGTCCAAACAGGAAGAATTTTGCGAGATGATTAATTTGAAATTCGCAAAAAGATGGTTAAGATTTTACTTTTAATGAGTCTGATATGGTGAGAAAATTGATGAAGGAATTAAAACAAACATATGGTGGGCGATTCACATGGAAGATGAATATAGTACCTTAATCAATGGGTGTTTGCCGGCAGGAACATGGTAAGATCCGACTACCATCACATACATCCCTTGATCATCGAAACGAAAACAGAGCACAAGAAAAGAAAACAAATTATTAAACAAATACAAAAGCAAATTCAACTAAAGAGGTAAAATTGACGAATAAAAACAGAAAATGGCAAAATAAACGTACCAGTAACCCATTTATTTTGTTTGAGGTAGCTCTCAGAGAGGAACAATTCGATAACGCTTGTACCGTCATCAAGAAGAAAGCGAGAGCGGTTATCATCGTCGTTGTCGTCGTTGTCATCGGGTTCGGGAACAGAGACGAGAAGGCCCTGGACCCAAGCGCGTTGGAAGAGGATGCCACCAAAAGTGAAAGAAGACTGTGAAGGAGTCTGTTTGGCTTTCTTTAATTGTGCACACATTAGCTTTAGCGCTGCTAGTGTGTAATCCATCTTCTGCCTCTTCTCTCTCCTCTATGTTTCTCTCTTTACTCTCTCCCAAATTGAGTTTGGAATGTTTAACTCGTTCGAAATTTTCAAATGAATCTGGCGGGTTAGTAATAGAGCGTTGGCGCCATTTTTTTTTTTTTTTTTTTTTTTAAAGAGCAACTAAATTATTCTATCTATTTTCTTTAAAAAAATTATTCTATCTATTAATCACTTTAGGATATTCAACATATTTGCTTAATAAGTATTTTAGAAATAATTAGATAGATCAAATAAACTTTAGGCTATGTTCAGTTCATCTGATCTGATTTGAATTTTTCTAATTTAATCTGATTTGACATTCAAATTTTATCAGAATTTGACCATAAATAGATTTTATAGACTTTAACTTTATTTGCACAATATCATATTTTATTATTTATATCTCTTACCTAAAATCCTACTAAAAATATTTTATCATTACTCTTTTTTAAAAGTCCCAACTTAAATTATTAAAAAAATTACTCTTTCTTACATTTGATCTCTTTCAAGATCTCATTGTACAATGCAAACAAAATAGGGGCATAGGCTTGAAAAAGTGTTCTATATCCTTGGCAATTTGAGAACAATTCAGGGCCTTGAGATATATGTAAAGGAAATTGTACCAATTGAGAATCAACAATAAATTTGGGATGAAGGGAGTTAAAATAACCTGTAATCCTGTATATCCTTGGCACCAATAATTTATCAAGTTACGAAAAAGACTAGAGAGTACTGCTCAATATAATAAGAATCAAGAAAATTCATATAAAATTTTATCAAACCAAACCTTTTTCAAACAACTTGTACTGAGTTTAACAAAGACAAAATGTGATCCAATTTCACACACTTTTATATGTAAATGTAAAATACATATTCTGATAGTAATTGTATAGAAAAACATATCTTAAACAACTGATACGCAATTTTTGAAAGAAATTCTAAGAGATAAGGGAAACGGCAGCTGCAATAAGATCATCAGACAGAATTCTATTGGTGGCTTCTGTTGGATGAAAACCATCCCAGAATACATACTCAGACGCGTTTTTACAGGTTCCTGGCGACTTTGCATTGCATAGATATGATGTTTCTAGCAATCCTGTTCCACAACATGCCTTTCTTGCCTCAACAAACCCTGCATTTCATTTTCAATTTCATCAGATCACACCTGCATGTTTTCGAAAAAATTCTATTTGCATAACATAATAGCTCAGAACCGCGGTCTTACTGTAATATGATCACAGATCAGAGAATAACGTGATTTTTTATTCATAAGACCATGGTTTACCACATATATAATATTGTTAAGTATGATAGATGAGTTAAAAGTAGTACCATTGTCTTCAGGCTTAGTGACCAACTCGTAAAGTGGCTGGTAAATATCAAAGACCACCAAAGTAAGATTTTTAAGCTGTGTCTGCAGCTCCTTTGCAGTAGAATTAAGCATATCATTGAACGTAATTGCGTCTTTGTTTATGTGATCTACACATTCATTACTGTCCTTTCCAAATATGGTGATTGCAGCCGGTAAGCATCCTAGAGGTGGTAGCGACGTTACCCCTACTTTTCTTGCTCCAAGCCAATACAACTTCTGCATTACACAAGAAAAAAATAATTTTTTTCTTTTTTTGCCTGTTAATTTCTAAATTTTCTTCTGTTTTACCCCTCAGCAGAAATACAAAGTAGAGCAGTTAGAATGAATGAAAACATACGCGAACAAGTTGTGCAAATTCTTGTACAAGAAGGTTAGAGAATGCCTCAGGAGAGTAAAGCTTGTAGAGAAGAGGGTTGATGTAATAGTTCTGAAGGAAATCACTGCTTCCAGCACTAATCAGATAAATTCCCTCTGTAATTATTGATGTCGCGTTGGTTTTTCCTGCAAGTGACACTAATTTCTTCTGGTAGTCCATGTAATGTTCCAGCTGCTCGCTCAATGAAATTGTGCTCTTCAACCAAAAAAATCATATATCAAATTATAATCTATTATTGTTACCAAAAACATATACTAGTATTTATTTTTTTCAAGTTAAAAAAAAAAAATTCACTTCACATATATAGTACTAAACTACTAAGTATAGACTTACATATATCTTGGGTGTACTGGCATGATACCCTGAAGAAGCAGAGGCGAAATTGGCTCCAATCAGCAGGTTTTTCCCCGTCGCATCTATGCTTAGGTATGCTGGTTGGTAAGATGTAAATCCTATAGTTTCAGCTGTAAAAGAAACCCAAAAGAATCTGATGTTAGTTTTTATTGTTTGTTAGACTATTAGCATAAGCGTTGATATAAATTGGTCATATTTCCTATCATAAAATAAAAACATCGCGAAAACTTATCCAGTAGGATGACTTGTTACTCTGTACGTCGAGGGCCTTACCCAAGAACAGCTGATTATCTATAACACATTAAGATTTAAGAAGCTTGAAAAACCTTCTTTTAGGCATAAATCTTTAACATGACTTAAAAATCTTCTTTTAGGCATGAACTTTTCATAACAAATAATAAATGGAACGAAAACGAAATAAATGAATGAATATAACACACCAGTAAAGTCAGTAGCAAGTTTGCCATTGCAAAATCTTCCTGTAGGCTTATGATGGGAAAAATCTCTACCATAAGGAGCAAAATTCGACTTCACAATTGTATGAAGATCGTTGTTATTACCCACATCAACTACTGAATCTCCAAATATGAACAATGCTGGTACAATTGGTTGTCCATTTACAGCAATACTTAATAACACAAAAATAACAAGGCAATATGCTACCAAATTGCTCGAAATTCCCATTTTTTTTGGGTGAATATATTTCGCTCTTGTATATTACAGTATTTTTATTTTTGATGGTTTGATTTGGTTTTAATTTTGAGGATATGCAAAGTATTTAAATAACATTTGGAATAGAATTATTAATTGTTGGTTGGTAATTTAGTATGTACATGTCTAAGAAACTTATATATTTCCTGATTTTGCTACAAAAAGATTGACGAGGTGATGTTTTAACTATGTGACTATATATAATATGGTTAGTATTTTGGTCATTTGTCACGTTATTTTATATAACAAGCAAACAATTAGTATTGTCATTGTAAGATAATAAGATAAGTCTTTTTTTTTTTTTTAATCTATTTATAATGTGTTTCTGGTGAGTGAATTCTATAGTTTAAGTAACCAAATTTATTTACAGAGTAATTTCTTACCTTATTTCTTAAAAAGCCTAAAAATTTACCATTTAAAATACATTTTTTCCAATTTATGAAAATGTTCCCCACTCAAAAACCCGATAAATCCAAATAATTAATCGAAAAGTAGTACTACACGATTTATCTTTTAATGATACACAATAGGTATAGGTCACATTTCTATTTATGTCGTCCTAAAAATTAATAATTTTTTATGTTAACTCTAACTACATATTTCAAAAATGATGAATGTTTGGGATACAAAAATGTAAAAAGTGAGAACTTAAGTTAAATTTAAAAATATATTTGCTTACACGTTTTTATTTTTGAAACAAATTTCACATTTTAAAATTTGATTAATTGTAATGATTTATACTTAAATTTTTTCATATTGTACGTTTTCATAAAAAAATACATATTATAGTTTATAGTTAGTTAGTTTTAATTAAAGATATAGCTAGACAGCTAGTTAAAATTATGATTAACATACATAATAAAAGAAATGTGTCAATTTAAAGAGAACTGAATAATTATATTTAGGACGAAAAGTAATATAATACTAGTACTTTCCCAAAGATAATGTTTATTGGTAGCTTCATTATTTGTCCCAATAATATTTACTGTAGTTTGTTGATAAATTAAGAACTGCATAATCTTGCAGGTTCCCTCATTGTGTGCAGGATTATATTACCAACCAATTCTGTGTGTAATGTACTAGAATGAACTTTGAAAATGTGTTATGTGTGTATTAATAATATTGGAAATGGAAAAGAAAACTTATTTGTAAAGTTTAACATACTTAGTCAAAAGCTTAGTGCTTATAATAATATCTACCCCATGAAATTTCAGAATATATATATGTATGCAGGTTCAACTTAATTAATTAGTTTAAGTAACTTATTAAACAAGAATGAGCTGTTGTTGCTCCTTTGACAAACTTTAAGTACCCAGAATACCATTCTATCAGCATACGTTAGGAGCACCATACACAATTAAAAATAAAAAATAAATAAAAAATAAATAAAATAAAAAAAAAAAACAATACTGGGATTTATTTTATTTTATTTTTATGGGTACAAGACCAAATTGGTAAAATAGTTCAAAAAAATGACCTTAAATATGTAGCTAATTTTTTATTTATTTTTATTTTTATTTTTTATTTTTTATTTTAATACTCCGTACTAGCTTATGGTGTCGTGCAATGCACGGATTTACCAAAATTTTATAAAATTTTGTATTTCAACCAACCTTTATGATTTTTTTTCTCTTTATAAATAGTATGACAAAGGTCAATATTCTTTTTAAAAAAAATGCTTTGTAGTAAACTTTAAGTTGTACATACCCGTATAATATATCACAACTTCAAATTCTTATATGTGGATAGCCACATGGTGTGGCCACTTCACATATAAGACAATTAAATAAGTAATAGGAGGTTACGGTGATGAGCAAATGGAATTACCTTGACGTATGTGAGTTACTTAAATAAAAAAAAGGGGGGGGGGGGGGTTTACTCTCTTACATAAGTGGAATCATTCTTTCAATTTTTAAAACAAAAAAATAGGGGTTACTCGAATGAACAAATGGGGTTATTTAATTCTAAATTAGTTGATATTACTCATATAATGAATTGGAGTTACTTTAATGGACAAAATGAGGTTACTCTTTTGAATAAATAGGGTTACTCATATATATAAATAAAGATTATTCTTATAAATCAATGTGGCTACACCATGTGGCTAGCCACATACAAGACTTACTTTATATATATATATATATATATATATATATATATATATATTCCGTACAAATTTATACTATATTAAAAATTATGCATATCTTTTTTAATAAAAATATTTTGCTTAAATTTTCTATAAGTTGTTACAAAATTGTTTTATTGAATTTGGGAGGGAAAGATTACCTTATATAAAATATATGGAAGATTTTATATATATATATATATATATATATATTGGTAAAATAGGAAAATATTACAAATTTCCTAAGATAATTAATTTGACAAAAAAGTAAATAAAAAATTGGCAATAAATTATTTAACCAGATTTTGCCACATGTCATTTTATATTCACCTTTAGTATATAGTTATTGATTATAGAAATAAGTACTCGCACTATCGAAAATATGCTAAATTATTCCACTTGAGTCTTACACTTTGTTTGGATTGAAGGAAATAGATGGAAAGGAAGGGAAGGGAAATAGAGGGATGGATTATCTTTTATTTGGACAACAAATGAGGGAAGAAGAGAATTGAAGGGGGAGAGAAATGGAGGGAATAAATTGAAGAAATTGATCTCTCCAACAATGTGGAGATTTGGAAGGAAAACACGTCATTCTTCCCTCCCCTTCTTTTCCTTCCTCTTTCTCTATCCAAACACACCGTTAAAGTATCCTTGTGCTAAATACTAGAGTAATCTTGAGTTGTAATTTGGGTTTAGGGTTTGAGTGAACTCTAAAGAGAAAGGCTTTGAGTGAACCTGGGAGAAAGAGAGATTTGAGAGTACAACTAATTGAGGGAGCATTTGTTGGATGCTCAAGTTCGTTGAGTAACTTGAGCTTGAGTCTTAGATTGTAATAGGTTATTTACCCTATTATAATTAATAAGAATTGAGTTTTAAATCCCGAGTGAATCGTGATTTTTCTTCTTATTTTTCTTATTGATTAGAGCCGAGAAGTTTTCCATGCAAAAATCTCTTTTATTACTTTTAGTTCCTTGAGTTTACATTAAATAATTCCGCAAATTATAAAGTTTCCCAAGTTCCTTGCAATAGAATTCACCCCCCAACTTCTGCTATCTTCATACTACAATCAGGGGTACCCTACATCAGGGGCGGACCCACCTTTAGTCATAGTGGGTCTGGTGACACAGTATTTTTTTAAAAAATAAAATATCAAAGAGACCCCTTATTATAGATAGGTGGTCTCTTTGATGCTGCTATTGGTAACAACAAACAATATCAAAGAGACCTCTTATTAAGATAGGCGACTCTTTAATGCTGCTATTGCTACAAAAGACTTGCTGTGGTTTTTTTAAATATTAAAGAGACCTGTTATTTATATAAGAGGTCTCTTTGATGCTGCTATTGCATTTCGCAACTTTTTTGTGCTACTTTCTTTTTCATTAAAGAGACCAGTTATATTTAATAACTGGTCTCTTAAATTATCTCACTTTTTTTTGTATAATTTTTTAATAATTTTTTTTCCCTTTTTATATCTTATATTTGTACAACCAATTTTAATATTTTCCCATGAAGCTTATCAATTAACTAAAAAATCATAAAGTTAATTCAATATAATAATTTTATTGTACCATTTGTTTATAACATGTTATTTGTAGTATTTTCGACTTGTAAAATTGAATTCTTAAGTACTGTATTTGGTTGTGGTATGAATTTTTGTGTCCTATTTTTGGATTGAAATCAATTTGGTGAAATATATATATATATATATATAATTTTTGGATTGAAATTAATTATGAACAAGACATGGAAAAAAAAAATTGTACTTTCACAAATGATCAATAATTGATGGTGACACACTATCTCGGAAATCCTGGATCCGCCACTGCCCTCCATAGACTTGGACCTCAACAAGGTGCTCAAAGAAATTGATCATCTAGCTAGGTTGGGAGAATCTCTTCAACGATGAACAAGTCAACCATGAAACCGACTTATTAGAGTTAATGGATTATGACAGCAAAGGTGACATTGATTGTTTAACGAATATACATGGAGTTATAATGGAATTGGAGACGTTCAAGTCTTCCTTTAAGCAGAATCCTGAACACTTCCTTCGCTTTAATATCCTCTGTTCCGACTTCCGATTGAGCGCCCTCGTTGGAATACTATCCTTCCGGTATTTTGCCATCAGCATTAGGTTCTGATTTATGAAATTCTGCTGCATACATTATATTAGTACATTAGTTTCGCTAATTGTTTCTTTATAATTTGCTTGCACTTCTGTTACGTTGTCTTTAAACTCTTTATTATTTGAACTTAATTAAATAAAGTATTTTGGTAATAACTAATTTGAAATTTTATGTGTTTCGATATAAACAATGTAGACCAAAGAGGGTCCTTAGTCCAAAGGGTTGAAGACGGGCTCGGTCCGAAAATTATGGGCCGAGGGTTTTCTGCACAGCAAAACACATTAACTAATCTCGGGGGGTTGTTTGAGGAACGCCCCTCCGAAACTTAAGTCGGTCCTTTTAATACCAAGAGAGAGTATTAAGAGCTATGCAAGCATATAAGCGATAAAGGCTAATAATGGATACCTGATTATGTTGAAAATTGGACTATTTATACCCAGGGGTAGTAAATAGCGCGAGGCCCTTAGGACACGAATCAACCCCTGAGCGTATGGGCTCCTTGGATGGACTTTAGCATACCTTTGGACTGATTTTGATGATATTGGACATGACTTAAGGCTATTGGACTTGGCGGTCCAATTGATAAATGAGGCCCAAAATAGGAATTCATTTTGACACCCAAACAATATGTACAATACAGCTATAAATTTTCGTGCGTTAAAATGACCTGCAGGACGCTGATAGACGCCTAGCTATATAGTTGGTTAAATTAGTTCAAGTGTTTGAACACAGAAAGATTTAGTAATCATGTATGGTCATTCATTGATTTTAATTACATTCAATTTTGCTCAAATTAAGTCGGGTTTTTTTATAGATCTTCTTAAGAAACTCAATTGGAGACATATATAGTCCCTCCGTTTTTTTTTTAATAAATGCATAACTTTGACTTTTTCACTATTTACATATAATATTTGACTTAATTTTTTTTGCTATTATAAAATAAATAAATGTTATTATATAATATATCATTAGATTCATCACAATGTTTACTTTCATAATATAATTTTGTTACAATTTTACTAATAGACAATTAAAGATATTAATGGTCAAAGTTACGTCTTGGCAAATATGCCCGTCAAACTGATACATTTAAAAAAAAAGACAAAAAAAAAAAAAAAAACAAAGGGGTACCTCTTGATCGTAAGACCATCGATATCGAAATCCTCCAAATGG